GGTTGATATGATGTGTCTCATTGGATTGATTTGCATATGCCCAACCATCCTTGCATCTCTGGGATAAATCCCATTTGGTCATTAATGATTTGTTTCAATTTCATATTTATTTCTACTCTGATCTTTATTCTTCTCTTTTACTAATTTTGGTTTGATTTGCTATAGTTTTCTGGTTAAGATGCATCATTAGGTGATTTATTTGAAGTTTTTTCTGCTTTTTTTGATGTAGACACTTACTGCTATAAAATTCTCTGTCAGTACTGCTTTCACTGTATCCCATAGGTCTTGATATGTTGTTGTTTTCATGATCATTTGTTTCAAGAAATTTTAAAAATTTCCTTCTTAATTTCTCATTGATCCACTGGTATTTAAGGCAGCATATTTAATTTCCATGGTGTTTGTAAGTTTCCAAAATTTCTCTTGTTATTGATTTCTTTGTTTTTTTCATTAGTGATCTGAGAAGATACTTGAGGCTGGGTGCAGGTGGCATATCTGTGGTCCTGGACTACTCAGGAGGCTGAGGGTGGGAGGGATCACTTTGAGCCTGGGGGAGCAGAGGGCCTCGCAGTGTGCTGAGTCCATCACCATTGGTTCTACTCCAGGCCTGGGCAAGAGTGAGACCCTGGTCCTCAAAAAAAAAAAAAAAAAAAAAAAAACTTGATAGTATTTCAATTTTGTGAATGTTTTAAGACTTGTTTTGTGACCTAATTTATGGTCTGTCCTTGTCATACTATCTATGTGCCGAGGAGAAGAATGTGTATTCTGCAGCCATTGGATGAAATGTTCTATAAGTATTTATTAGGTCCATTTGGTTTGTGGTACAGATTAAGTCTGATGTTTCTTTGTGGATTTTCTGTCTGTCCAGTTCTGAAAGTGGGATGTTGAAATCTCCAGCTATTACTGTATTGGGGTCTACCTCTCTCGTTAGCTGTAATAATATTTGCTTTATGTATCTGGGTGCTCCAATGTTGAGTACATATATATTTACAATTATATCCTCTTGATGAATTGATGCCTTTATCATTATATAATGACCTTCTTTGTCCCTTTTTGTAGTTTTTTTCTTGAAATCTATTTTGTCTGTTATAGGTATAGCCACTCCTGCTCTTTTTTGGTTTTCATTGGCGTGAAATATCTTTTTCCATCCCTTTATTTTTAGTCCACGTGTCTTTATAGGTGAAGTATGTTTCTTGTAGGTAACAGGTCATTGAATTTTGTGTTTCTTATCTATTCAGCCACTCTGTGTCTTTTGATTAGAGAATTCAGCTTGTTTACATTCAGTGTTATTATTAATAAGTAAGGTCTTACTCCTGCCATTTTGTTACTTGTTTTCCGGTTGTTTTGTGGTCTTCTCTTCCTTCTTTCCTTCCTTTCTATTTTCCTTTTAGTGAAGGTGATTTTCTCTGGTGGTATGTTTTAATTTCTTGCTTTTTATTTTTTGTGTATTCATTGTATGTTTTTTTATTTAAGGTTATGAGGCTTGCAAATAACTTATAGCTCGTTATTTTAAACTGATGACAATTTGGCACTGATTGGGTAAACAAACATGCAATCGAAAAGAAGTCTAACAAATACTCTGTACTTTGTCCCCCCAACTTTTTACCTTTCTGTTATTTCTATTTATATCTTACGGTACCAAGTATGTCTTGAAAAGTTGCTGTAGTTATTTTTGATTGGTTCATCTTTTAGTCTTTTACTTAAGATATCAATAGGTTACATATCACAATTACAGTGTTGTAATATTATGTGGGTTTTTTTGTGTACTTAGTATTACCAGTGAGTTTTGTACCTTCAGATCATTTTTTAGTTGCCCAATAACATCTTTTTTCTTTAAAATTGAAGTATTCCCTTTAGCATTTCTTGTAGAACAGGTCTGATGTTGATGAAATGTCTCATTTTTTTGTTTGTCTGGGAAAGTCTTTATTTCTTCTTAAAGCTTGAAGGATATTTTCACTGGATATACTATTCTAGGGTAAAATTTTTCCCTCAGTAGTTTATGTCATACCACTCTCTTCTGGCCTGTAATGTTTCCACTAAAAAGTCTGCCGTCAGACATATTGGAGCTCCATGGTATGTTATTTATTTATTTATTTTGCTGCTTTTAGGATCCTTTCATCATCCTTGACCTTTGGAAGTTTGGTTATTAAATGCCTTGAATGGTAGTCTTCTTTGGGTTAACTCTGGTTGATGTATAACTTTCTTGTACTTGAATATTGATATCTTTATCTAGAATTGGGATGTTCTCTGTTATTATCCCTTTGAATAAACGTTCTGTTCCTATCTCTCTCTGCCTCCTCCTTAAGGCCAATAACTGTTAGATTTGCCCTTTTGAAACTATTATTTAGATCTTATAGGCATGCTTCATTGTTTTTCATTCTTTTTTCTTTTGTCTCTGTTGACAGTGTATTTTCAAATAGGCTGTCTTTAAGCTTACCAATTCTTTCTTCTGCTTGTTGACTTTTATTAAGAGACTCAGTATGTCAGTTGCATTTTTCAACTCCAGAATTTCTGCTTGATTCCTTTTAATTGTTTCATCCTCTTTGTTAACTTTATCTGATAGGATTCTGAATTCCTTCTTTGTGTTATCTTGAACTTCTTTGCATTTCCTCAAAATAGCTCTCTTGAATTCTCTGTCTGAAAGGTCACATACCTCTCTGTCTCCTCAGGATTTCTGGTCCCTGGTCCCTTATTTAGTTTGTTTCTTAAGGTCATGTTTTCCTGGATGGTCCTGATGCTTGTGGATGTTCATTGGTGTCTGGGCATTGAAGGTATTTATTGTAGTCTTCACAATCTGGCCTTTTTTGTACCTGTCTTGGGAAGGCTTTCCAGGTATTTGAAGGGAATTGGGTGTTGTGATCTGATTTTGGTCATTGTAGCCATATCTACATTTGGGGGCACTCCAAGCCCAGTAATGCTGTGGTTCTTACAGACTTGCAGAGGTACTACCTTGGTGGTCTTAGATAAGGTCTAGAAGAATTCTCTGGATTACCAGGCAGAGACTCTTATTCTCTTCCCTTACGTTGTCCCAGACAAATGGAGTCTCTGATTCTGTGCTCTAAGCCTCTTGTAGCTGGGGGAGTGGTGACACAAGCACTTTTGTGGCTGTCATCACTGGAACTGCACTAGGTCAGACCTGAAACCAGCGTAGCACTGGATCTCACCCAAGGCCCAGTGTAACCACTACCTGGCTACCTCCTGTGTTGGCCCAAAGTTCTAGGGCTCTACAATGAGCAGGTGGCAAAGCCAGTTAGGCTTTTATCCATCGCTTTAGGACAGCGAGTTCCCCTGGGCCCCTGGCAGGTCCAGAGATGCCATCTGGGAACCAGCATCTGGAGTTGGTAACCTTAGAACCCTACCTGGTCCTCTGTTCTCCTGCAGCTGAGCTGGCACCCAAACCACAAGACAAAGTGCTTCCCACTTTTCACTTCTCTTTTCATAGGCAAAAGAGTCTCTCCCTGTGGCCACTGCAGGCCCACAGGGATTATTGCCAGGCTATTGCTCATGTTCACTTAAGGCCCAAGGGCTCTTCAGTCAGCTTGTGGTGAATGCTGCCAGGCCTGGGACTTGCCCTTCAGGGCATTAGGCTCCCCTCTGGCCCAGGCACGTCCAGGAATGCCCTACAAGAGCCAAGGCCTGGAATCAGGGACCCCCAAGAGCCCACTTGGTGCTCTGTTCCATTGTGGCTGAACTGGTATCCAAGTTGCAAGATAAAGTCCTCTACTCTTCCCTCTCCACTGCTCAAGTAGAAGGAAGGAGTCTCTTTTGGAGCTGTGAACTGTGCTGTCTTAGATTAGGGAAAGGGTGGCATAAGCACTGCCTTGGCCACCTCAGCTGGTGTCTCACTAGGTTACATGCCCCGTAGGTCTAATGGCTTTCGAGCCCAGCCCAGCACTAAAACTTGCCTAGAAATTGCAGTTTCTGTGTCCTAGACTGCTTTTCAAGTTTATTTAGGGCCCCAGGACACTTTAGCCTATAGTGGTGAGGCTTGTTGAAACACAGGCTCCAACCGCTGGGATGGACGTTTCTCCTCTGGCGAGGGTACATCTAAATTCTCCCTCCATGGGCATTGGCTGAGTTCTTTGCTAATGGCCTGGGTGTTGCTTGCCAGTTGGCCTGGTGTTGCTTTCTGCTGTGACATGGCAACACTGAGTTCCAGTGCAAAGTCCCACAATCACTGCACTCTCCCTCCCCCAAGCACACAGATTCTTTGCACCACATGGCCACTGCATGGGGGTGGGGAAGGGGTGGCATAGACAATCCAAAACTGTCTTTCCTACTCTCTTCAGTGCTTCTTTCAGCAATACGAAGTTAAAACCAGGTACTGTGATCACTCACCTGATTTTTGGTTCTTGTGAAGGTGCTTTTTTGTGTAGATAGTTGTTAAATTTGGTGTTCTGTGGTGGGGGCAGCGATTGGTTGAGGCTTCTATTCAGCCATCTTGCTTCATCTCCCTCCAATAGATTTAAAAAAAAAAAAAAAAAAGACTTTAGAATTATCTAATTTTTTTCTTTAAAAGATATAGATGATTGGGTTTTAATTATAATCTTCAGGTGTTTCCAGAGTCATTGTGTTCTGTCATGAAAGTAATGCAAGAGCAATTTGCTGTAATGAAAAGCTAGAAGCTTTGAGAACACTTTATTTTCTAATTCCAAAACAATAATAAAAAACAGAACTTTGCTAGCTGGCTTTGTCTACTGTTATTCTTTGATGAGATAACTTTGAGTTCTAGATACCATGAGGTGTTGATATGACAGCATGTTATGATAGAAATTTTTAGAAAAGACCAGAGACTTGAGCGGTAGACTAATCTGCATGTGAAATTCACCTCCGTCACTTTTCCTCTGGTATTTTGAGCAAGTTATTTAACTTCTTTTGTAAAGTGAAGATTATACTTCTTTAGAGTTGCTATGAGGATGAAAGCACTCAGAATAAGTTCTTGTTGAATGGTAGATGTATAAGGAATACCATGTAGTAACAATTATATGTTTTGATATTGTCAGGTGAAGTGAAGGACAAAAATGTTCAAGTGGTTGAGCTTCCTATTGTAGACAGTCTTCATCCCCGTCCTCCATATTTACCCTTGGCTGTACCAGAAGACCTCGCAGATCGACTTATACGAGTGCATGGTGACCCTGCAGTGTGGTGGGTGTCTCAGTTTGTCAAATACTTGATCCGCCCACAGCCTTGGCTAGAAAAAGAAATAGAAGAAGCCACCAAGAAGCTTGGCTTCAAACATCCAGTTATTGGGTAAGAATCTGATTTTTTCTTCAAACTGTGATACGTAGTAGTTAGGGTTATGTATCTTTACAACATATTGTGAATTTTACAATATATGGTTCAATTTTTATAGTCCCACCAAAGAACAGAGGTTCTAGAGCTATCCTAAGGGCACATGGAGACTATTCTTTTTGTTTGTTTGTTTACTTAGAATAGCTGAGAAAGTTTCTTGGTAGTGCTCTATTACTGTCTCCAGTGCTCCTCTTCCTTTGCTTCTTTCTCCTCTTATCACAGCTCTCTTTTGGCTTTTGTTGTTGTTATTTTTGAGATAGGGTCTCACTCTTGTCACCCAGGCTGAAGTGTAGTGGCTCACTGCAGCCTTGACCACCCTGGGCTCCAGTGATCCTCCTACCTCAGCCTCCCAAGTATAATAGCTGGGTCTGCAGGCATGTACCACCATGTCCAGCTTCTTTTTATTTTTATTTTCATATTTCCCACCCCACATCTTTCCTTGTGTCTTAGTCTTCATATGTAGAGAAGTTATTGACCCCATTCTAAGTGTTAGACCTAAAGAAGGTACATCTGAAGTCAGAATATCAAATCGTATTTCTTCTTATGTAACTTTTGATTGAAATTCAGTGGAATCATTTGTTCTGCCCACTTCATCTCTGTAGAGCACACTGAACAATTCCAGTTTCCCCAGAGAAAGGGTGATTATGAAGGATGTGGGAAGGAAAAGATGATAGAATAGATGTCCATATGATTTTATCCACATCTGGGTTATAGTCTGGAATGCAAAGCAAAGAATAGCCATGAAGATGGCAGAGTAACTCTAGTGAAATCAAACCTTCACTCCAGATTCATAATAAAAAACTGGCCTTAGGCTTGGCCTAAGGCATACCCATATACTGTGACCTAAAGGCATGTAAATCTACCTTTTTCTACATATGAATAGTGATTTAGTAATTTGTGGGGTGGGGAAGGCAAGATTTCAGGAGGATCTTTTAATTTATGAAAATAAAGTGTTATTTTTATTTCTATTAATATTACTTTGGGGCCATGCATAGTGGCTCATGCCTATAATCACAACACTTTGGGAGGCTGAGGCAGGTGGATCACTTGAGCCCAGAAGTTTGAGAAAACTCAACCTAGGCAACATGGTTGAAACCCCATCAATATCAAAAAAAAAAAAAAAAAAGCAAAAATTAGTCAGGCATGGTGGCACATGCCTGTAGTCCCAGCTGTTCAGGAGGCTGAGGTGGGAGGGTCACTTGAGCCTGGGAGACAGAGATTGGAGTAAGCTGTAATCACGCTACTGCTGAAAATGTTCTGCAAATGTGTGCCACAGAGCAAGACCTTGTCTTTAAAAAAAAAAAAAAGTGACTTTGGAAACACTAAGATGGGAGGAGAGAGAATACTGTGGGAGTCGGTGCCTTATTCAGTACAGGGCAGTGTGAATCTGTTTCCCCAATTTTACAGTTTTGGGGCTTTTCTTAAATATGACAGATGAAATCAGTATCTGCACTCATTTGATATGGTGAAAAACAGAGAAAGGAAATTCATTATGCCCACAACAGAAGGGCTGGAATCGGCTTCATTTACTTAAAATATTAAAAGGTTTGCCGGTCTTAACGGTGCTATAAAAGTTCATCCAGGTCAGTGTTTTCCTGGGACAACTTTAAGTTCTACAAGCTGGCGGTTATGGTGACTCTACAGGGTAAAATAAAGAAGAAAACCCTTGGCATCAGAACTTTACAAATAATATCTCTAATGTTCTTTAGTAACAGCTGTGAATCCTGGTATCATCCTGGTAACAAAAATCTTAAGTTATATTCAGTTTTTTTCCAGACAGCTGGTTGCTGCCTAGTATGAAATGCAACTCTGGAATCTCCCATTTATTCCTAAGATATGAATTATTTTCTCTATAAGAAATCATTCTTCAAAGGCTTTACTTACTTTCTAATTCCACTTGTATTATTTAGCCTGCAAATATATTTAGAATATGTATTTTTGAGTTTTTAAAATACTATGTGTTTTACTTTTTCTAATGGTTAAAATGAAAGAAAAATCTGTTAAAAATGCATATAATGCCACCATAAGTAGGGGTATAAATTAAGTACCCTGAAAGCACCCAGTGTCAGTACATTACCAGCAGAATCTGAATTTCTCCCCCAGAGTCCACGTCAGACGCACGGACAAAGTGGGAACAGAAGCTGCCTTCCATCCCATTGAAGAGTACATGGTGCATGTTGAAGAACATTTTCAGCTTCTTGCACGCAGAATGCAAGTGGACAAAAAAAGAGTGTATTTGGCCACAGATGACCCTTCTTTATTAAAGGAGGCAAAAACAAAGTAAGTTAGACCAACTGGTGATTCTAGAGTGGGGCTGTCTCTTTCAGTTTAAAAGAATTCTTACTTCCCATGACTTGTAATTTTTGTATATTATTATTGCTAATTATTAGGGTTTTAAAAATTCAAGTGACTATATACTTGTATAACTGTCAGTCTAATCAAAGCATTTTTATTAGCCATATCCAATAATGCCTTATTAGAAGTCTAAAATGAACTGGACCACTGACTTATGTATTGTCACCAGCAATAATCATTATCATCATTAAAAGTATCACCCTACTTCTTGGTACTAAAATCTTCATTAGTCTGTTGGAGCTATCATAACAAATAACATAGACTGAGTGGCTTAAATTACAGAAATTTATTTCTCCCTGTTCTGGGGCTGGGAAGTTCAAGATCAAGATGCTGGCAAGGTAGATTTCATTTTCTCTTGGCTTATAAGCAGCCACTATTTCAGTCTGTGCTCTGTGACCAGGAGAGGAAGTGTTCTGATGTCTCTACGTATAAGGACACTAATCTCATGAGGGCCCCACTCTCATGACCTCATCTAAGCCTAATTATTTCTCAGTGGTCCTATTTCCAAACACCATCACATTGGGGTTAGGGATTCAACATAGGAATTTATGCAAATGTAAACATTCAGTCAGTAACACTAGCCAGCTATACAGACTGTTAGCAATAAAACCAGGTGCTTACCGTTTTGATTTCACTGTCTTTATTAACAATTACAGGCAACTGAACACGTATGTAGAGTTTTGTCTCATAATAATTTCTGGAATTTGAAAGTTATACTAAAGAAAGGTAAGGAATCAAAAAGTAAGTTTTGTAAGTTGAGGAATAAAGACTACTAGTATGTATGGAACAGTAACAATTATTTTTTGAGCTTGCCTGTATTTCAGGCACTGTGCTAGGTGCTGGGGATTTCATGATAAACAAGATACTCCCTGCTGTCAAGGAATTCCCAAATCTAATAGGGGAATAAGCAATTACCCTACAGTGTGAGTAACACTATTACAGAGTTAACATGGGGTATTCTGAAAACACACAGATAAAGCACAGATCCTAATTGGATACTTCTTATAGGATCTGGGTAAACCTGGAGTTGGTCTTTATTTACTATCAATAAATGAAGGATGTATTAAATGTATGTGAAAGTAGGAAATTAAGGAGAAGAAAATTCTAGTCTTAGTTCTGCTCCAATACTATCTCCTCTAGAAGTCATCCCTGAACCCTTGACTGGCCTGTGTCCCCCACTCTGTGCAGTCCTCTGTTGTAGTGTTTAGCACTTGCTTACTTCTGTCTCCTTCATTAGATTATAAGTACTTTGGATATAATACCTAGCTGTAGTTAAATGCCCAGTAAATATTAAATAGTGTTGATTTCAATCCCATCAGTTTGGAAACATTAACAATTAATCATTTAAGCTTTTTGGCTATTTAATTAATGTATTTATTGTCCCCCATGTTTCAAATGGGAGTGAGAAAAATAAATAAATTTAGAATGAGGACTGTAATGCAGGTATTAATCTAAGTCATTAGATAATAATTTAAATCCTTTTTCTACCTCTGAAGAATCCAAATGAACCTGAAGCAAATTGCCTTTTTTGTTCAAGGCTCCCTCTCTTGAGCACGTATACGCAACTACCATACACATGCGTGCATGCGTGCACGTGCGCGCGCACACACACACACACACACACACTGAGATATGTATATATGTAAACAAAGGGCAAATAATCAGCCAGGCATACGAATGAGTTAATGTAAGAGGGATTAAATGAACATTTGGGCACAAAACACAATTTTAAAAAAAGTATGGTTTGCCATGTTTCTTCAATTTAAAACACCAAACTGAATTTGTAGCTTGGTTGAAGAAAAAGATACTAATTTTGTCTGCTCTTTCACTTGTTCTTGAATGCATCACAAGCTTTTTTTCATGTTTTCTTGGTGAGCAAATTAATTCATGCTCACTTAAAAATATGCAAGTTGGTAAATACCCTATTCATTTTCATGCTGCTGATAAAGACATGCCCCAGAATGGGCAATTTACAAAAGGAAGAGGTTTAATGGACTTACAGTTCCACATCCCTGGTGGGGCGGGGGGGCACTCATGGTAGAAGGTGAAAGGCATGTCTTACATGGCAGCAGACAAGAGAAGAGAGCTTGTGCAGGGAAACTCCCATTTTTAAAACCATTAGATCTTGTGATTCACTATCACGAGAACACCAGGGGAAAGGTTTGCCCCCATGATTCAGTTACCTCCCACTGGGTCCCTCCCACAACACCTGAGAACTCAAGATGAGATTTGGGTGGAGACACAGCCAAACCATATCATTCTACCCCTGGCCACTCCCAAATCTCATGTCCTCACATTTCAAAACCAGTCATACTTTTACAACAGTCCCCCAAAGTCTTAACTCATTTAAGCATTAACTCAAAAGTCCACAGTCCAAAGTCTCATTCAAGACAAGGCAAGTCCCTTCCACCTATGAGCCTATAAAATCAAAAGCAAGTTAGTTACTTCCTGTATACAGTGGGGATACAGGCATTGGATAAATACACCCATTCCAAAAGAGAGAAATTGGCCAAAACAAAGAGGCTACAGGCCCCATGCAATTCCGAAATCCAGTGGGGCAGTCAAATCTTAAAGCTGCAAAATGATCTCCTTTGACTCTATGTCTCACATACAGGTCACACTGATGCAAGAGGTGTGCTCCCTTGGCCTTGGGCAACTCCACCCCTATGGCTTTGCAGTGTATAACCCCCCTCCCCGCTGCTTTCATGGGCTGTCACTAAGTGTCTGCGACTTTTCCAGGTGCATGGTGCAAGCTGTTGGTGGATCTACCATTCTGGGGTCTGGAGGACGGTGGCCCTCTTCTAACAGCTCCACTAGGTGGTGCCCCAGTGGGGACTCTGTGTGAAGGCTTTGACCCCACATTTCACTTCTGCACTGCCCTAGCAGAGGTTCTCCATGAGAGCCCATTCCTGCAGCAAACTTCTGTGTGGGCATCCAGGTGTTTTTATGCATCCTCTGAAATCCAGGCAGAGATTCCCAAACCTCAGTTCCTGACTCCTGTACACCCACAGGCCCAACACCACATGGAAGCTGCCAAGGCTTGGGGCTTCCACCCTCTGAAGCAATATCCTGAGCTGTACTTTAGTCCCTTTTTATCATGACAGAAGCAGCTGGGACGCAGGGTACCAGGTCCCTAAACTGAACACAGCAGAGGGACCCTGGGCCCAGCCCACAGAATCATTTTTTCCTCCTAAACATCTGGGCATCTGATGTGAGGGACTGCTGCAAAGGTCTCTGACATGTCCTGGAGACATTTTTCCCATTGTATTGGTGATTAACACTCGGCTCCTCATGACTTGTGCAAGTTTCTGCAGCTGGCTTGAATTTCTCCTTAGAAAATGGGATTTTCTTTTCTGTCACATTGTCAGGCTGCAAATTTTCCAAACTTTTATGCTCTGCTCCCCTTATAAAACTGAATGCCTTTAACAGCACCCAAGTCACCTCTTGAAATCTTTGCTGCTTAGATACCTATAATCCAGATACCCTAAATCATCTCTGTCAAGTTCAAAGTTCCACAGATCTCTAGGGCAGGGACAAAATGCTGCCAGTCTTTTTGCTAAAACATAACAACAGTTACCTTTGTTCCAGTTCCTCATCTCCATCTGAGACCACCTCAGCTGGACTTTATTGTCCATATCACTATCAGCATTTTGGGCAAAGCCATTCAACAAGTCACTAGGAAGTTCCAAACTTTCCCACATTTTCCTGTCTTCTTCTGAGCCCTCCAAACTGTTCCACCCTCTGCCTGTTACCCAATTCCAAAGTCACTTCCACATTTTCAGTTATCTTTTCAGCAGCACTCCAATTCTTGTACCAATTTACCCTATTAGTCCATTTTCACACTGCTAATTAAGACATACTCAAGACTGGGCAATTTACAAAAGAAAGAGGTTTAATGGACTTACAGTTCCACAGAGCTGGGGAGGCCTCACAATCGTGATGGAAGGTGAAAGGCGTGACTTACGTGGTGGCAGACAAGAGAAGAGAGCTTGTTCAGGGAAACTCCTATTTTTAAAACCATCGAATCTCGTAAGACTTATTCACTATCATGAGAACAGCACAGGCAAGGTTTGGGGACCCAGCCAAACCATATCATTACCAAAGCAAGGAAAAAGTATTATCCTCAATCCCATTTATGTAGTCTCATTTTTTAATACGGTAATGTACCACATTTCAGTCAGTGATGAAGCACCTGTGTGATGGTGGTCCCACAGATTATAAAACTGTACTTTTACTGTACCTTTTCTATGTTTAGATACACAAATAGTTACCATTGTGTTACAGCTACCCTCTGTATTCAATATAATAACATGCTGTACAGGTTTGTAGCTTGGGAGCAATAAGCATTCCATATATTCTAGGTGGGTATATATGTATAGCTTAGGTGTGGTATAGTTGGCTGTGCCATCCAGGTTTTTGTAAATACACTCTATGATGTTCGCGTGGTGATAACATTGCCTAATGATGTATTTCTCAGAACATATCCTCGTTGTTAACTGGAGCATTACTGTAGTTAATTGAATTCTTTATAATATAAACCCTTTTCACTTAATACAGCAATAGATCCATTCTGCCAGGTTGCTAAAACAGTCATTGTAAACATCTTTTTTGTTGTTTGTTTAGTTTTTTTTGCTTTGTCACACAGGCTGGAGTGCATTGATGGAAGCGTGGCTCACTGCAGCCTCAACCTCCTGGGCTCAAGAGATCCTCCTTCCTCAGCTTCCCGAGTAGCTGGGACCATTGGCATGTGTCATCACGCCCAGCTAATTTTTTGTGGGTAGAGACAGGATCGCATGTTGCTGAGGCTGGTCTCGACCTCCTGGGCTCAAGCAGTCCTCCCACCTTGTCCTCCAAAGTGCTGGGATTACTGACGTGAGCCACCATGTCCAGCCTAAACATCTTTTTTTTTTTTGAGACAGAGTTTCACTCTTGTTGTCCAGGCTGGAGTGCCATGGCGTGATATCGGTTCACTGAAATCTCTGCCCTCCAGGTTCAAGCGATTCTCCTGCCTCAGCCTCCTTAGTAGCTGGGATTACAGGCATATGGCACCACTCCTGGCTAATTTTGTATTTTTAGTAGAGACGGGGTTTCTCCATGTTGGTCAGGCTGGTCTCGAACTCCCGACCTCAGGTGATCCGCCCACCTCGGCCTCCCAAAATGCTGGGATTATAGGCATGAGCCACTGCGCCCAGCCACATCTTTTTTAATGACTACATACATATACATTGTACGGATATGTCATTGCTTTTTGACCAACCATTCTCCGAATATTCGGCAGTCAGGTTATTTCCAATGTTTCATTCTTACAAGTAATGCTATGACATATGCCTAAAATTATCCACATTATTTCCTTAGATTTCTGGACTTGGAAGTATTTAGATGCAAGGGTATAAACATTTTTTTTTTTTTTTTAATACAGGGTCCAGGTTGAAGTGCAGTAACGCAATCTCAGCTCACTACAGCCTTGACCTCCTGGGCTCAATGATCCTCCCACCTCAGCCACCTAAGTAGCTGGGACTACAGGCACATGCCACCACACTCGACTAGATATAAACATTTTACAGCTTTGATCCATAGCACAGCATGACAGTTTTATACCAAACAACCCTTATAGTACAGTTGGCAGTATCTACTTGAACTGCACGAGTAGTAAAACCAGAATTTCCTCCTTGTAGCCAACAGCTGTAACTCCCCTCCCAGTGGTGGTCCAGGCAGCAATTTTCTCCATATTCTGTTATAAATATAGTAGTAGCCTTTTATGCATAATTTTTTTCTCTTTGTAAATCCTTTTATTTTTATTTTCGACTTGAGTCATTTCTTGGGGATTTAAATGATGGGGTTTTTTTATTTACTCTTTTACTTAAATGTTTTTCTACTCTGATTTAATTCTACTTTAAACCACTCAGGATTGGTTTTGATACCTAAGCAAATCATAAAACTTCTGCCATTGTTTTAGGAGACCAAAAGCATGAATTAATCTATTAACAAAGTATATAGTGTGCAAGGTAATCATTGTAAGACTTTTCTGCTTTAAGAGGGTGAAGAGATGAAAAATTAAACTTAAATGATGTATAGTGTTCACATAGAGGAGAATCCATTTTCTGTGTTGCTTATTCTTTGAAAAGGGGTTAAAATTAGCTTTATGCATATAGCTTCTGTGTGAAGATGCTTAGTTAATGCTTTGTGGCTTGGTATTACACTTCAGATTTCTCCATGTTAAGATTGAGTTTGGCCAGGCGCAGTGGCTCATGCCTGTAATCCCAGCACTTTGGGAGGCTGAGGTGGGCGGATCACTAGGTCAGGAGGTCGAGACCATCCTGGCTAACACGGTAAAACCCCAACTCTACTAAAAATACAAAAAATTAGCCAGGCATGGTGGTGGGCGCCTGTGGTCCCAGCTACTCAGGAGGCTGAGGCAGGAGAATGGTGTGAACCTGGGAGGCAGAGGCAGTGAGCCAAGATGGTGCCACTGTACTCCAGTCTGGGCAACAGAGTGAGACTCCATCTCAAAAAAAAAAATTGAGTTCATCCACAAGATTTTACCACCAGCATCCCAGTGACTGTGGCAGCCATTGCTATTGTGGCAATCTCTTAAGTAGTTCAGTATTACAGTGTTTGAATCACAGAATCATTGACAGTCAAAGAAATAAGAACTATTAAAGTTGGCTACCCAATATTGCATTCTAAGGATTGTGGAGATTAGGGATGGGGTTAAACCAGGAAGAAAAAGAAGCCTTTAAAAGTGTCCCAGGTAAAATATTTACAAATTGAGTTTATTCTTTATTTTTAAAATGCTGGATGAGTTCTTTCTAAAAGTAGATACATTGAAATGTTCTTGTCATTTGTTAAAAGTTTTTTGTAAAGTATTTGGTTGCCCTGTGAAATGAAGAATCAGCAATGAGTGGTATATTTGTTCACTATTTTGTTGAACTCCTATAATATGCTGGACACAGCACAGAGCACTAGGAATACAAAGTCAAAATATAATGTGTGGCTCCTTATCTCAGGGAGTAACCAATAGGTAGAAAATATACATGTAACACATAATTACAGTATAGTTAGATAAGTCTCCTGAAGGAGTTTACGTACCAGGTACGGTGAAGTCACAAAGAGAAGTATCTTCCTCAGTCAAGGGAAGGACTTCAGAAAACAACACCAGATATTAGTTTATAACTGGAAGCTAGTCCTTCGTGGATGATATAAAAATAAATTTTTATACAGTAGAAAAAGAAAAAAAAAATTCCTAGAATCTGAAACCTCAGGGTAGAAGAATTCCTCCACTGACATACTTGAGGGCAAAAGATAAGAAGCATGTTTGTGCAAAAAGTTTCATGCTCATTATGAAAGGTGTAAAGTTTCCTTCTTGCATTATTTACTGTTTTGTTTGTGTGTGTTTTGTTTTGTTTTACACTTAGGTATCATTTATGAAGCCATAGCGATAGGCCTGAGAATTCTTTTGCATATAGAGATGGGCCTGAGGAGCTTAGGTACCTTTTTTTTTTTTTTAATTTTTTTATTTTAATAGTGATGGGGTTTCACAGTGTTGCCCAGGCTGGTCTCAAACTCCTGAGCTCAAGCAGTCTGCCTGCCTCAGCCTCCCAAAGTTCTGGGATGAGCCACCACACCCAGCCGTAGGTACCCTTTTGATTTGGTTCCAGAGAGGGCTCTTTTAGTTAGGAAGACCATTAATGTTAGTGTTACTTCTTGGTAAATTGATCACTCCTTTGTTTCACTGAACATCCAAACCATGCTGACAAAGTTAGTCTTTATTCAAGGATAAAACCTGTACTGGTTTTATCAGTTCCCCCCTTTCTTTCTCCCTCTAGCATTTCATATTTCTTTGTTGTTGTTTCTGCTCCATGCCTGGGTATGCAGCTTCACAAGAATCACATTAAAACTGTTTCTGGTTGTTTTCTTTTCAGAACAAATGTGACATTTTCTTCATCTCCTTGATTTTGAGCTGAAGAGGGCAAACTGTCAAAAATAATGAGGCCAAATGGATTTGAACACTGAATAGCAGTCTGAAACAGTGCTCAGAGACTTTGCCTTTACAATCATTATTACAGAGGCAATGAGGGAAAGCTCCTTGGTGGCCATGAAATGAAGAGAAACTGAAACAGCTCTTAGGGGATTAGGGAAAGTCCCAGGCATAGGTAGCACTCACTTGTTCATGTATTTATTCACACAGCATTGTGTGGAGTGCTAGATGCTGTGATGCAGAGAAAAAAAAAACTCATGGTCCTAACCTTTTTTGGAATACTGTTTGAAAGACAAACATGTAAACTGACTCCTGATGCTTCAGGGTTTCTATATAGGAACTATTATTCCTCCAGAAAATATTTATTCCTCCTCTATTATATTCCAGATTCTCTTCAAAAGACATCCTGTATGAATACTTTTAAACACACACTCTATCTCTAGCAAGACTACCAAAATATGACTTGGTGGGCATCTATGGAATTTGCTTCCATAAATATTAGAATGGGCTATTACTGTCATTAGGTGAGAGTAGATGATTCTTCAAGAAGGATGCAGGTTAAGGGAGACCGTTAGTTCTCACAAATTTTTAAAATATTCGTCTCTTCTTTTTATTATTAGCTTGTAATGTCAATGAAGAAGACATTTACAAAGTCTAATCCAAATCTGAATGATCAAAAATTCTGAATTAAAAATTTTAATGAGGTTTTATCACAACATTTATATTCTAAAGGAAAAGCCCAGTGACCAAATATGAAAGAAGTTTGAATAAACTCTTAAAAGTCACTCATTACAAAAAGAAAAAGGAGATTTCAATTTTCGACTATTTCATGAGTTGATAAAGGACATTTTGATGTGTGTATGTGTTTTATATGCTATGCCAATAAAGTTTAATATACAGGGCATTCCAGAATGGTTTCTGCCCCACTGATGGACTTCAAAGATGTCTCATCAACTATACTGTTAAATGCCATAATTAAAGGTCTCCTTTCTGTTAGAAAGGTCTTAGTCCAAGCTCTTAGTCCATCTTCTGATGGGATACTGTGGTATCTATGACCATCTATAAATTAATTTATTTTTTCAGGTACCCCAATTATGAATTTATTAGTGATAACTCTATTTCCTGGTCAGCTGGACTGCACAACCGATACACAGAAAATTCACTTCGTGGAGTAATCCTGGATATACATTTTCTCTCTCAGGCAGACTTCCTAGTGTGTACTTTTTCATCCCAGGTAAGTGTCAGTAGGGCATTTTAAATTAACCAATACTTTTTGGTTGTATAGGAGTTAGAAAAATTATTTGTGTGTCTGTGTATTGTTAATGTTCATTATTGTGACTCAGGTGCAATTTTTCTGTTAGTAATGATCCCTTTTGTGGAAGAATGAAAAGATCCCATAAAATACCCATTCACGTGCACTGAATATTTAGTTGTTTGCAAGTAATGGCTGACTACATCTCCACTGAAGCCAGTTACTGGAGTTGTTTAAAGTACTTGGCTTGTTCACAGCATTTAACAGAAACAACAAATAATTAAGCTTACTTAATACTTTCTAATTTTGCATATAGTCAATATGTAACCAGAATCCATCCATTTCTACACATTAGTGCACTGATACTGAGAGGCTTAAATGTCCTAAATTTTGCCTCAGTTGATTGCTTTATAGAAAAGAGAGTAAATGTAATTCCCTTTCAAGTTCTACTACATTTCTACCAAGTGAGAAACTGTATGTTAAATTTAGGAAACACAATATCACATTGTTTGAATTTAATTGTTGCAGATGATTATATTTTATGGGTGTGGTGTATGTGTTTTTATGAGGGTCCAACCAGCTTTATATGCCCTGTGGAATATCAGAATAACAATATTTATAGTGGATTTTATTCTGTTCTCTCATTTATGCACATATTATTGGTTAGTTCATTCAACCAGCTGTTAAATACACTCAAAATTATACTAGGTGCAGAGGAGATTTCAAAGGAGATTGAAGATACAGTTCTTGCCCTGGTCCAGAATCTAATAAGCAAAATACACACATGAAATAACTAGAGAATAATTAACAGAATATACAAATTGGTATAAGATAAGTGTATGCTTAAATGTCAAGAAGAGGCAGAGAAAATAAAATGTGAAAAAAGGAAAGCCACATCATTTTTACGAGAGTATACTTCGGAGAGTAAAAGGAAATGGATACTTTCTTATTACATGACAATATACATTGTCATGGGATGGCGATACGATTTTTGGAAAGATACCTAGCCAGGCAAAGGTTACAGATTCCTTTAATATGGAATAAGAACACAACTTACTACCCAGAGATAGCTGCACAGAACACACAGCAGCATTCTTAATCAGAAGGGAAAATGTCTTCAAGTTCCCATGAAGGCATCCACTATTGATGTTTCTCCCTAATTGGGGTGCGGATCCTATCTTTTAAGAAACTCTCATTTCCATTCTTATTGCAAGAAAGGTGCAAGGTTTATAACTTCTTGATTCCTTCCAACTGTTTTTGAGAGTCTTGACTATGCATCTGCCTGATCAACAGGTACATGTAACTGGTAACAACCTCCAAACATTCTTGGTGCTTATTGTTAGAATGAGTGAATCAAGAGTCACTTCCCCAGGCATGCCACTTTCTCTGTAGGCCTGGATTTTAGGCCTGCCTGAAGTCAACTCCTCTAGTCCAGGTTTCTCAACCAAGGCACTATTTTAGACCCGATAATTCTTTGTTGTGAGGAGCCATGTTGTGCATTGTAGGAGATTTAGCAGCCTCCCTGGCCAGTAAGACCCTCACTTCAAATTATGACAACCAAAAATGTCTCCAGACATTGCCAGATGTCCCCTGTGGAGCAAAATTGCCCTGGTTGAGAGTCACTATTCTAGTCACAAGATTCTAAAATTAAATAAATTTACACATGTCTAAATGTTTACCAGTCTCACATGTAGGCAGGCACTGAGACTTACAGGGTTGTACTCATGTTTTGCTTTTCTTCTTCCAAACCTCCTTAGTAATACCATTAGGCTTATTCCGGAATAGAATTTTTTTCTTTACTCTTTTTTTTCCTTTTTGAAGTTGTACTTTAGAATTTTGGATCCTCATAACTCCAATTTTGACCTAGAAATCAGGATCTCTGTCACTTCCTGATGGTAGAATTCTGTCTAGGCTTGAGGAGAATATTGTTCTATTACTTTGTTTGGTTTTATGCATAATGTCGACCTCAGTGTATTCAGACCTTGGGTCCAGAGAAGCAATTCGTATGAAGTAGGAGTGGTGCTGAGAAGACTTTCTGTATCCAAAGGAATAAGGCTCATACTTATATATCATGTTGTTCTAAAAACTCTTGGCAGTCAAAGTTTGCCCAAAATAATTTCCCTCATTTGAACCTAAGCAAAATTAAAATAATATTTCATAACCCAAAATAGACTTGAATAACTCAAAATATTTTATGTTAGGGTTCACAATAAAAGTTTAACAGTAAAAATACCTTCCATTTTTGTAGTGAGTAGCAGTTTGCCTAATGTGATTACCTCCTTATCATGTACCTTATTTGATGACTAACCACTGTAGCATTTGAAATTGTAGAATAATTCCATATTCAGTGATAAATCTTTGGGCTTACCTCAGGATTTTTTTCAGATATTTTTAGTAAAGAAGTATTTAGTAAAGTTTAATGTTTTTGTAGTGTGAATGAAATTGTTTGCAGGATTATTATATAGATTCCCTTACCAAAACCAAAATTGGAATTGTTTGAAAATGCCCTAGAAATATCTTGTCGTCATTGCCAATAGAGGGTGAGAAAAAGTCACTGATGGGATAAAATGCCAAACCATTAACCACTGATCACAGATCAAGAAAGAGACAACCTGTGGTATAGAGTTGGGATATCTGTATTTGAGTCCAACTTTGACCAATTAGTGGCTGTGTGTCCTTGAACAAATTACTTAGCCTATCTCTTAACTGGTTTATTTTTCTACATGTGAAAAAATAATAGTACCTATAGTATAGAGTTTTTGTGAGGATTAAGGAGTTATAAAAAGTTATAAAAAGTAAAGCACTGTGAATAGTACCTAGCAATACAGTATTAAACACATTAGCTGCTATTATTATATATGTGAATACTTATAGGAATATCTCTGCCTGTTAGACTCTATAGTATTTATTTTGCAGCTCTTTTTCACATGGCTTCATTTCAGACATGGCTTTCTTCATTTCACATGGCTTTCATTTCAAATGCTCTCACATTTTAGAAGGAGCATGAAACGAGCTCTTCAAGGACTCCGTTAGCTCTGCTTGTGGTCATGGGCAATGCTTAGGGTCCGTAAAGAGGAGGAACTGTTAACATTCAGCATGTACATTTCTCTGGGCCAGTGTACCACCTCAACTTCATTTTGTTTAGCTTATTGAAAGAGAATATTGCCATATGATGTGATTTTTCAGAAACAAAAGTTCTTCATTCCCAAAAGGTGAATGAAGACGTAGTATTTCAAGTAAATGTGTGTGTGTTGACCTTAGTGAAATTAATTTTTAGACTTTCCTATATACGTCATAAGCATTCTGGAAAATGGAGGAAGACTAAAGCCATACATCCAGAAGAGTGACAAAAGATAAACATTGAGAATATGTTCAGCCCAGAATAAAAACATGGATAACCAACTCTCAACTTTCTTCGATGATTATTTCATGTGCCAAGAGATGTTAGGAAGTGATACAAGTTTAATATCTCCTTCATAATTCTTTGGCAGTCTTTAAGTTTTACTCATGTAAACTTTCTGTCTCCTATACACTATCCTTTGAGGAATACCGTATAACAGTAGTGGGAAAGAGTTGACCTGTTGACCATGAGCTATTGTAGACAATACCGCAGGAATGAAATGCCATACTAGAAGGAAAAATGCAAGGCTACGTGTTTGGAAAACTGCAGGCAAAACTGTCATGGCACCTTAATTGAGATTTCTCAGAAGTTTTTATACCCATCTCCCTCAGTCTCAGGCTTCTAATCTTTCTTTTATGTCCTTAAGTGAGGTAGGGGAATTCTCTCTTCTTCAATGAAAAGTTTTTAAAAGCCAACACTGTGGCTCTGCTCTCTAATTTTGTTACGATTATTGCTCTTAGCTTTCTGAATTCCTTCATCAGATCTGTTTCTCAAAGCCAAGTTTGTCCTAAAAGCCTCATAAATTGAATAGCACAGTCCTCAGGATTTAATATGAAAATTGGAGGCAATATTAGCATTTTTTCAAGTGCATCAAGTGAATTTTGAAAGCTATGCAACCATATTCTAAAACATTCTACCAAATACATTAATCCTATTCTGTGTTACTGGAAATCGCCTATGTGCAAAGCATGTCATTTGTCACTTATTTTCTTATTTGAATCTTAAATCTGAAGCAAAGAATTTATAGTTCGAGAATAACAGCAGTTGACAGCCCAGCTGTAGATAGGCACAGTATCAGAAAGGTTTTCTGAAAATATTGCTTATTAGGTTCTGGGATCAATTTTTATTCTGAAATCTGATTTACAAAAATGGTTGCAGGTGCTCACTTTAAAGACTAACATTGTTAAAGACATTGTTTAAAGAGCAGTGAACATTACTCAGTAGTTTCAGCCATTGAAAGTCATCATAACACAAAATCACTTTTTTCCCCCATGACACCTCCTTTTATGGCAATTATTACAGTACTCTTATGAGCCTCTCTGTGGTCTCATTCCAAGTCCGCATGCAACTCTACTCCCCTTGTTACACTTTGAATCAGGTTTTGGAAGCCCAGAGGGCAAAACCGAAAACTACGTTAACTATTCCAGACAGAAGGCTCGGGATTGGAATTTCCATTGAGATGTGGCTCATGAAACAACAGTGGATACCTGTTGAGAGTACCATGGAGGAAAGCACAGGGTGAAATCCCAAGGTGTGAACTCTGTGACTACTTCCTAGAGCAGAAGACAAGAAAAGTATTTGCATCCACAGGGGCTCTATCTAGCTTACAATGCTGAGTGCTGTACAGTGCAGCTGTTAGTGCATTAATCCTTCTGGCATTTCTCACAACAAAGAAAAGACCTGGTTCTTATTCTCTTATTCTGTAGTAAAACAAAGTGGTTTACAGGAAAAGTGCACAGATCTCTCAGCCACTTCCAACTTCTCACACTAGGAGATCCTCCTGCCCTTATCTGTTTTGACAAAAATAAGATCGCATCTACTCTGAGAAAGCTTTGGAGGCTTATGTAAACTCAGGCTACTTCTAAGGGATGAAATTCAGACTAATGGATTCCTCCCTCTTTTTAAATTTTTTTTTAATACAGTCATATCTGTTTTATCCTTTGGCAGGATTTTTGCTGTTACCCATTACTCTGTGCTTTACGATGTACTAAAAATGATGCAGTGCCATGTCAACACAGAATAAAGTTAAACATACTACTTGTAGCCAGCCTCTGCTTTGCAAACCATAGACTGCTGTCAGTCATGCCACCTGTCAAGCATCAAACCTGAGTATGGACATCAGCTACAAGCCTTCGTTTACCTACCATGTGATTTGAACTTGTAAACCACGTGGTAGGTAAGGAAAGAAGAGAAGAAGCATAGAGTGACTAAATGCAAACATTAACACTATAGTAATCTTTTTAGCCTTTTGCAGTAAATTGCCCTATGGTTGATATAGACAGTTTTAAAATTACTTCCTCTTAATGTTATATATGGATCTTAAGGGTTAAATATCACCCATGGACTTACGTCTCCATTACTGGGCTGGTATTATGCCTGGAGCAATATTCATTCAACAGATAATCATTGAGCACCTACTATGTGGCAGGCATTGTTCTAGGTGTTTATCCTAAGGGAATATATACTCAAGAGCCTGAAAGAGTTCTAATTGCGGCTCTGCCATTAACTAGTTCCTTTTGGATTTTTATTTTTATTTTTTGAAATTTAATCTTTCTGTGGCTTAGCTTCTTCATCTGTAAAATATGAATAATAATAGTACTTCACAGGTTTGTCATAATAGTTAAATGAGTTGAGACAAGGTGAGGGAAGAGCACACTATTATAACACTGCCTGGGACATAATTAGTGCTCATTAAGCTCAGCTGCTATCCTTAGCAGTCATTCTTACGAGAAAAATAAAGGGCCACACCTGTGTGGCACTGGTATGCTTGCAGAGGCCTACAGTCACATTTGTCATTTTTATAATGGGCCACCTCAGTGTCTGAAATCTCTGCTATTATTATAATAGTTATTTCTTTGTTTTAATAAAACAGTTGCATTATCCATCAAGGTTAACACATGCACAACTCTTGATAGCAAAACATACACTAATTATTAGGATTATCCCCAGAAGAAACAGGTCTCTAAGGGTGTGGGACGGGTTGCGATACTGTTTTTATGAGAGTAAGACATTTAAGAGTGGAGAGGAGGAAACACATCACGGCTCATTGTCACAGTAGAGGTTGTGGTCATCCTAAGAGTAACACAAGGTCCTGCATTCCTGGCTAGAGATGACTGAAGAGTGGGTGAAGACACCCTGAAAAGACTGTCAGGTTTACCCAAGGCTGTCTTTGGTCTTATGCTATATCTTTCTGCTGTTACAATATGAACATGGAGAATAAGATTTACAAGAGAAAATATACATAGCAGTTACAGGCATATGCAGACTGCCTGGGTTCCAACCTGAATCTACCACTTATCAGTATAACCTTAAGCAATGCCTTAACTTCGCTTTGACATCTGTAAAATGAACATAATGATAGAATTTTATGGGGATGCCGAAAGGAATCTAATTACATTAGATAATATCTAAAAACAATGTCTGACAGTTAGCAAAATCTCAGTAAATATTAGCGTCTATCATTGTTATTGTAGTTTGCTATTATTGGAGCTGCTTTAATTATTTAGTTTCTTCTTTTCCTGAGTCCCTCTTAATTTTGCTTGCCTTCTATGAGCCTTTGGCTGAATTTGAAGTTCAAAAGTTCCAAATCTTTTTGATCCCTATTTTATTATAGTCTCAGTATTCTACCAATGATCTCAATTGTAAAATGACATTGCCAGTATAACCTTTGTTGAAGTACTAAATCTGAAAGCAAAGTTATTATTATTTTGGTTCTATATCTAGTTGAAATTCTGTCACTGAAATTTGCACAAATCACTTAATCTCCTTGTGTTTTAGTTGCCTATCTGCAAAATTAAAAATACTGTCTAATTATCAGATGAGAATGTGTGATTGATTAACAGTGTATGAAGGAAAGGGACCATCAGCATTTGTGTTAAGTTTTTTTTATCCTAATCCTAAACTTCAAATTCTTTAAGGGCACAAACTATGTCTTACTCATTTTGGTATCATGAGTGCCTAGCTTGGACCACGTGTGTGTAGCTCTTAATAAATGTTTGATAAAATTAACTAATTCATATTCTTTTTTTTTTTTTTTTTTTTTTTTTTGAGACGGAGTCTCGCGCTGTGTCACCCAGGCTGGAGTGCAGTGGCCGGATCTCAGCTCACTGCAAGCTCCGCCTCCCGGGTTTACGCCATTCTCCTGCCTCAGCCTCCCGAGTAGCTGGGACTACAGGCGCCCGCCACCACGCCCGGCTAGTTTTTTGTATTTTTAGTAGAGACGGGGTTTCACCATGTTAGCCAGGATGGTCTCGATCTCCTGACCTCGTGATCCGCCCGTCTCGGCCTCCCAAAGTGCTGGGATTACAGGCTTGAGCCACCGCGCCCGGCCCTAATTCATATTCTTAAATTATTTTGTACTATAGAGAGAGAGATTTTAATTGTAGTAATCTTTCGTGGGTTTTTTTTTTTTTAATTTGAAAAAGGATCCAGACACAGAGATGAAGAATGACTTGTACCATCTTCTGAGAGCAAATGAACTGAAAGCTTGTGGCTAGAATCCACCTACTTTTCAACTTCTTACTCCCCATCCTTTTGGCCAAGGGCTTTTAGACTGCTGTGAAGGAAAGGAGAGCGTTTATATACTAACAATTTTTTTTTAATTCTTTCCAAAGGTCTGTCGAGTTGCTTATGAAATTATGCAAACACTACATCCTGATGCCTCTGCAAACTTCCATTCTTTAGATGACATCTACTATTTTGGGGGCCAGAATGCCCACAACCAAATTGCCATTTATGCTCACCAACCTCGAACTGCAGATGAAATTCCCATGGAACCTGGTGATATCATTGGTGTGGCTGGAAATCACTGGGATGGCTATTCTAAAGGTGTCAACAGAAAACTGGGAAGGACGGGCCTATATCCCTCCTACAAAGTTCGAGAGAAGATAGAAACGGTCAAGTACCCCACATATCCTGAGGCTGAGAAATAAAGCTCAGATGGAAGAGATAAACAACCAAACTCAGTTCAAACCATTTGAGCCAAACTGTAGATGAAGAGGGCTCTGATCTAACAAAATAAGGTTATATGAGTAGATACCCTCAGCACCAAGAGCAGCTGGGAACTGACAGAGGCTTCAATTGGTGGAATTCCTCTTTAACAAGGGCTGCAATGCCCTCAAACCCATGCACAGTACAATAATGTACTCACATATAACATGCAAACAGGTTGTTTTCTACTTTGTCCCTTTCTTTCAATGTGTCCCCATAAGACAAACACTGCCATATTGTGTAATTTAAGTGACACAGACATTTTGTGTAAGACTTAAAACATGGTGCCTATATCTGAGAGACCTATGTGAACTATTGAGAAGACCTGAACAGCTCCTTACTCTGACGAAGTTGATTCTGATTTGGTGGTGGTATTGTGACCACTGCATTCACTCCGGTCAACAGATTCAGAATGAGAATGGACGTTTGGTTTTTGTTTTTGTTTTTGTTTTTTTCCTTTATAAGGTTATCTGGTTTTTTTTTTTTTTTTAATAATTGATTGCATCAGTTCATTGACCTCATCATTAATAAGTGAAGAATACATCGGAAAATAAAATATTCACTCTCCATTAGAAAATTTTGTAAAACAATGCCATGAACAAATTCTTTAGTACTCAATGTTTCTGGACATTCTCTTTGATAACAAAAAATAAATTTTAAAAAGGAATTTTGTAAAGTTTCTAGAATTTTGTATCATTGGATGTTACGATGATCAGCCTTATGTGGAAGAACTGTGATAAAAAGAGGAGCTTTTTAGTTTTTCAGCTTATTTACTTTGTTTTTTTCCTGTTTCTGATATAGTAACTAATTCTTAACTCAGAGACATTGGTCGATTTTAATACTGAAAACCAGTTTTCATTGGTACTCATTACAAAATTGCTAAGAACACTCTTTGGGAGCTTTCATTCTCTTATTTTGGACATTGTTTTAATTGAGTGAAATAATCATAACTCCTTGCTCCCAGAGAAGCTATCACCTCCATTTCTAAAACGATTACAGGTTTGTTTGATAGTCTTTCTTAATGTATTTATTATCGCTTTTTGTGAGTAGGGTCCTGTTTTATCCAGGAACCAATTTCTGCCCTGGCCTATCATGCCCTGCTTTTGAGAGTACCAGGTGTCTTAGGCACTGGGAAACTGGCTGTTTCTGAAGTATATGTCTCATAGTATGTAGAACCTGGTGACCAAGGGAGAAGAGGGACCAGTGGGAGTCCCACAATAGATTGAGTCTTGGGATTATCTCTTCCAAATACTTCCATGTTAGAATCACTTCAGAAAATAAGACTTTGATGTTTTGTCTCTGAACATCACTTTTGTCCTCATAAAAACACTTCCTTATTGTATGTAGCCTGCCTCCTACAGAGGCCTGGCAGGAGTTACTACATTCTAAAAGAAAAATATCTTTGTAGGAACGACTTTCAGGCTTGATGTTAAATATCAGGGATCCTAGGCAGAAACTGTTAGTCCTGGCCTTCATATCTTCACCAAATGAAAATACTGTATATAAAATCTCACCACCAAATTTAACTAAATTCTTTTTCTCAAGTCAAGCCTCCCAAAGAAAAAAGAAATTAACTTCCTACAGTGTCAGCAAGCAATTTTCCATTTAGTTTTGGTACAAATAAAAGTCATTTGAAACAATCTCCAACTGAGTGGAGGTAATTCGGATCATGAGTTTTTTTGCAACTCGCATGTCACATGTCATCAGAACATCAGCAACTGTGGATCTGATTTGTGCCCTTATAGAAGATCCAAAGGTAAATTAAGTTAGTCTCTTTTCCTTCTAAATTGACCCAGTTCCAGGGGTGAAAGGACCAAAGAACAGAGATATGAAGGAAATAAATTAAGGAATATTTCCCAAAGGGAGTTGAAGACTTAATTTTTGACATTTTATCATTTAGTTCTAGAATTTCTACTTAATTATTTGTATTTCTCTACTGAGTTTTTTTATTCACTACAAGCGTGTTTAAATTACGCTTTAAAATTATTTTCTGGTAAATTTGACATCTGGATAATTTTAGAATTGGTCTCCATTGTTTATCTTTACAGAATGGTCAGATTTTGGGGGGAGGTCCCTCATTTATTGAGTGATTTACATTGTGTCCTGAACATTGTAAATGTTTATGTTGTAGATTCTATTATATTACTCTGAAAAGTGATGTGATATATCTATATACATACATATGTGTGTGTGTATATATTTTTCTTTTGCTTGTGTTAGCAGGCATTTAACTTTATTGGACTCAAATTGTAAACTGTCTTGGGCAGCAGCTGAAAATCTCAGTTCATTTAGCTGGAGTCTATGCCATGTGTAGTTCAGGGCTCAGCCAGAGAGATGGATAGAATTTATGCACAGAATTTGTGGTGCTTTTTCTTTGGCTCCATTTCTTCTGAGATTTCTCCCCTCACTTTCCAGCAGCTGTGGTTGCTCTGATTCTTAGACCAGAAAGACTGCAGGTTTCTTTCAGCCCAAAAGCTATACAATGTGAAACTCACCTTGTGCCATTCCCTTCTTTAAAATTTAACCTCTTTTCAGAACTTGCCTCTGTTTGTATTCAGTCTCCTACCCTCATGGTATTTTTTGTGTTTTATTGAGTTTATAGTTGTTATTCGTTGGAATATTGGTTCAGGGGGTGCTTACTCCACCATTAACTTAAAATGAAAAAACAGCAAGGGAGAGGAAAGGTCTAGTCTTGTGAAACCCCTGTCGAGACTCTGGCCTCAATAGCCAAGTAGCCAGTAGCCTTATGTAAGAAGATAAAGTAACCAACTGTTAAACCTGCACTTGTGAAGGGCTGATGAATACTGTTGACCACATCTTTCTGATAGGCCTTTCAGAACCACTTTTTTTTTTGTAAATATCATGTACGTGATGGTGATTCATTTATCACAAGTTGCCATGTTGAAAGGCTGACATTTTCTCTATACCTATATGTAATTTATCATAAAGCCCTGGTACTTAAAAAATCCTGCATGATTTTGAATTGAGTGGCCAGTGCGAGGTTAGGATTTGCGTCTTTTCCTGTTGAAAGACCTATTTCTGAGAGACTGCCTGGAATTAAATTATTAGCATGGCTCATTGAATGTGGGTAACAGAATCCTGCTTATTAATGACAAAGCAATTACGAAAGATCTCACCAAGGCTTTCCTAGTTCTTCCACTCAAGTCTGATTTTAGTGCTTAGCTGGGCACTTAAACGAATTCATGCCTGTGTGAAAGCCCTAATCCAGGTTTCAACTGTACTAAATGAATAATGAGACCTAGTTCCTTTTCTGTCCAAGTTTAGGTTGTTGTTATTGTTGCTATATAGAGCCAATCCTGTTTACTGGGTTCCTCCTTCATAAAGTTGAGAAGATGAACAGCCCCAACTTCTTAGGGATTAAAAGAGGAAAGCACTTTTAAAAGCCACTTCATACAATGATTATTTGTCTTTATTAATTCAGTTCTGAAAGAATACAGTCACTACATACATTCAGTGAGCAGAAAAGTGTTGGGGTCTAAATGGTGCATCTAGAAGTATCTCTTCTGCCTCAGTGAGAGCAAATCTCTCAAGGGGAAAACACACAAGTCCCTTTGGCCATAGCCAATTGCCCAATACTCATTTATGCTCTCAGGAGACTTGCAGTAGGTCTCCATAGGCCTGTACAGAAATACATGTGGCTTGAGGATTTGGTGAATTGGGAACTTGGCTACAATACCCTAATTTTATGTCAGATACAGACTGTAATGGAATTTTAAAGTGCGCTGCTCAGAAAGGAGCAAAAAGAATTTGCCTCTATACTGACTGGTTCCTAGCACCAGTCTCTCTCATGGACACATGGAAGAGCGTTCCAGGATCACAAGCCTTGAAAGTTTGGGCTTTGAGTTCCTGGCTAGTCTTACCTCCCTATTGATTTGCTGAGAATTTCTGGCCCAGTAAGGAAATGGAACATAACTGAGTGCAGAAGCAAGAAGAACCAGGTTTTCAGTTTTGTTTTTCCTCATCATAGTGCCCACAAGCACGTAATATCCCTGTATTTCAGGTTCTTTAGGGGAAAAGCAACAGTTCTCATTGAAGATCACTGACTGAAATTCAGAGTATCTGGCTTCTGATTTTGATATTGTCATTAAATGGGGACAGGCCAGTTTTCTCAGAACTTCATTTTCTTTGTAAGTGAAATGAATTGGTTGAATTTATTCAGGGTTTGCAAATTTGGTTGACTAGTTCAGTTTCACATGTCTCAAGGCAGTAGCTTCTACTCAGCCTCAGCTGATTGTTGTTCTAAGGACATAATGTGGACAGATATTTATGTTTTTCCAGACAAGCAAAATCTGATGGATCTTTCTGTGCAAAATCTTCAGATTTTGAAGTATCAGCAACTAATTAAAAGATAAATAAAATACTAAGGGGTCGAAATAAATATCTGTGGCTCCTTTGGGCCCATGGCCCATTAGTTTATAACCTCTGGACTACATTGGGAAAGCTCTTTTCTAAGTTCAAGATTATATCTCTAGCTAAAAGTGGATCTACCATTCGATCCAGCAATCCCACTACTGGGTATCCACCCAAAGGAAAAGAAGTCATTATATGCAAAACACACTTGCACACGTACGTTTATAGCAGTTCACAATTGACAACCAACTTAAGTGCCCATTGACTAATGAGTGGATAAAGAAATTTTGGTATATATATACCATGAATACTACTGAGCCATTAAAAGGAACAAAATAATGTCTTTTGCAGCAACTTCAGTGGAGCTGGAGGTCATTATTGTAAGTGAAGTAACACAGGAGCGGAAAACCAAAAACGATATAGTCTCGCTTAAAAGTGGGAGCTAAGTTATTCCCCTACACTGAAAGAATGTAGGGGAAGAACTTTAATCTCCTGATTCTTCAAGTTGTCGATTAGTACGGAGAGGCATACGGAGTGGTATAATGGACTTTCGAGACTCAGAAAGAGGAGGGTGGGAGGGGGGCTAGGGATGAAAAACTACATATTAGGTACAATGTATGCTACTTGGGTGATGAGCCTACTAAAATCTCAGAACTCACCACTATATAATTCATCTATGTAACAAACTACTGTACCCTAAAAGCTATTGAGATAAAAATTAATTTAAAGCAAATTGATATGTGCTCTAAATATAAATTATGCATCAGGTTGGTTAGTATAAAAGTATAAAAAATGTAAAATATCTTTTTGGTACATTCAGTTAAATAACATTATGAAAATTACCCATTAAAAATTTTTTAAAAATAAGATTATATCTCTGGAAAGGATTGGTAAGAGGGTAACAGCTGCATAATGCTTTCAAGTTCAGTTGTGGCACGTGTCCCAATTCCTTAGAAATACCTGCTTAGCTGGCTGTCATCCTGGGCTCAGAATAGCCCATTCATAGCATATTCATAACAATATTCTATGAAGCTCATAGGCTGGGCCCCTCTCAGACTTGGCCTTGAGAACCTCAAGTGTGTAACAAGTGTTAGATAACTTCTAAGTTCTCTTCCAGCCCTAAATTTCTAAGAAGGTCATGGTGGGGCCTGAGATTGTAACAAGGTCATATGTGGTGCCAGGGTACAGCTGTCTGGATTAGGAACCTGGGTGGCTGGATCTGGTTGGAAGAGGAACAAGGGTCATTTTGCTAGAGCAGCTGACTATGTCTTTTTCTAGACCTCAGTAAAAATAGAGTAACTTAATTCCTGACCTAATTAACAGGCTGTTCAAACTCATCTGTTTATATTTAGAAACTCCTTTTGTTGTTTGCTTTCTTTCCCACCTTTGTTTCCTAGTAAAGTTTCATTCACAGAATCACAGCTTTGTCTCAACTAAGAGAAGAGGGATTTGTGGACATAAAAGCCAAGAGAACTGAGGTGTCAGCGTCTCCTAAGAGGCCAAAGAGTGGAGACAATATACTACTCTGGACCAGATCGAACTTTCCCATACTGTTCAGAAAATCAAAAGAAGTGTGAATGAGTACCCACCATGATGCGTCCCATCTAGTCTATTCCATTATTTTTTAAGTGATACTCAAAAACACTGGAATTTCTTCGCAAACATACTGCACAATTGATTGCCACATAGTGGCGGGTCACACCACCAAGAATAAGAACATCTTACAGGTGTTGAGTTTAAAGAACAAGGGGTTTGAAATCAGCTCTAATTTCAAGTTTTGGCTTCACACCTTTTGAGCTCAACAGGTTCTAACAAGCTATGCTCGTTCAAGAAACTCCTCTTGATAATTCAAATGACCAGCATTCTATAAGTCAGTCATTGGGAAGCTGTGCCCACTGCTTGTTTTTGTAAGTTTTATTGAAACATAACCACACCCATTCACTTACATATTGACTGTGGCCACTTTGGGGACTACAGCAGCGCACTTGAGTAGTTACCACAAAGCCTAAATGTATGGCCTACAAAGCCTAAAATATTTACTGTCTGGCCTTTTACAAAAGATGATTGCTGACCCCTGCTATAAGTAGTCCTGTCTTTTAGATTCAAATTGATAATCCACAAAGGCCCAATGTCACAAAACACTGACAGTCATCAGAGAAAAATTTGATAGTGGGGGTAGTATAGTAGGGCCTCCGCTAATCTGTATGGTGCCTTTGTGAAAATTAGATAAAGATGCTCCTAAGACAGTTACTTTAATCTATTGATTTTT